AACTTGTGTGTTGATATTATTGGAAACGCAGCCATTATAAGTTACAAATCGCTTCCCCTGGAGAAACCTGTGAAGAAGTTGATCCATCTTGTTCTCCATGCCATCGCTCTGGCTCTCGGGATCTGGGGCATCTGCGCAGCCTTCAAGAACCACAACGAAAGCCACATCCCTAATCTTTACAGCCTCCATTCCTGGATTGGTATTGGTGTCATTTCTCTTTATGGCTTCCAGGTAAACTCACTGGCCTTTATACAAACACATTCCCGCATGTAATCAATCTACTACATAGGAATCCTATCGATTAAGTGTTCGGTTTGGTCCAGCTTCCTCCTATTCACCCTTAGAAATGTTTCTGAATTCTCTGTGTCAGAAGAACCTTGAAAATAAACATTGAGAAAAGTTTTCAACTTTTGCGCAGTGGCTGTACAGCTTCGGATTGTTCTTCTACCCAGGAGGATCATCAAATCTGAGAAGCGGTTTGCTTCCATGGCACGCATTACTCGGTCTATTTGTTTATATACTTGCTGTTGGGACTGCAACTTTAGGGTTTCTTGAAAAGCTGACTTTCCTGGAGAGTGGAGGGCTTGACAAGTACGGAACCGAAGCATTTCTTGTCAACTTCATGGCCATTGTTACCATTCTCTTTGGTGCCTCTGTGGTACTCACTGTTTCTGCCAAGTCTACTACTTCCGCCCCCTCCGTTGATGATGACAGTAGCTACAGCTATTCGGCTATATAAGAAAACTTCTAAATCACAAAACACATCTGTATTGCCACTTGTACTGTCAAAACTCCATTCATATGTGATACACTTGTATTGAATACCTTTGTGTTGTGGTTTCGTGTGCGCTGATTACAACTTTGCTACTTCATATTGTGTAAGAACTTCAACAAGATTGATGAATCTTCTAAATGTTTCCTATCATTCCATTAAATCTTCCCATCGCCTAATTATCTGATAGAGTCAAGTTTGTAACAGTTCGTTAGCTCTGTTTTAGTGTATAAGAAAACTCTTAAGAAATCATTGTGAGATAGTCGGAATATATTCATTAACTTTCTCAATCTTTTTATGTAGTTATGTAGTAATGGTGGTGGTATCAGAAAAAAAAAAAAAAAAGGAAACTTGATTTACATTAGTTTAGACGTAATTTACGTCATTGTTGATGAAGTAAGGAAATCACCAAAAGAATTACAATGAGAGTCCTCTTTATCAATCATATGCTCCTGATTCTGAAACTTGGAACCAAACACAACATCGTTAAGAGTCCAGTTGCTGTTTTTGATCATCAAGTCGTTGTAGTGGAATCGATCACCATCACACACTTCTTCATAATTTGGAGCTTGATTGTGCTTAGAGTCTACCAAAACAGAGGAGTCATAATCGATGTGGGGATCTAAGGAAGAAAACCACTCAGAGAAGAAAAGCCTTGGCATCTCAGGAACAGAAGACTTGCTTTCTTTTGATGGCGATGAAGATGTCTTTTCTGGAAGTTTCTGGAAGGAGATCAAGGTTTCCGGGTTTCTTCTTGCACAAGCGACATGTGCTTCAGAAGAGGATATAGATGTTTGGATTTGTGGTTTAGATTTGAGCCATCTCTTTTTCAAATGAGAGTGCCAATAGTTCTTTATCTCGTTGTCTGTTCTTCCTGGTAAGTATTTCACGATCTGCGACCACCTAATCACAACCAAGCAATACTTACTACTAGTCACTCTCTAATGAGCATCTGATGAAACAATAGGGTTAGGTTATAGGGATATGCTTACTTGTTACCCAAGGAAGAGTGAAGCGTCGAGATTGTCTCTTCTTCTTCTGCATTAATCATCCCCCTCTTTAACCCTGGTCTTAGGTAATTAATCCATCTTAATCTGCAGCTCTTCCCATTCCTTTGTAACCCTTTCAAGTTATCCAAATTGACTTAACGTAAGGATTAATTTTGAGAAAAGTTGAGAGAATAAAATACAAAAATAGAAGGAAAAAAAAAAGAAAAAGAGACCAGCTTTGATGGGGACAGTGGTCCAGCAGGCATGGCCATGAGAGAGGATGAAGCTAGTGAGCTTCTTGTCTTCTTCAGGTGACCATAACCCTTTCCTCTGTCTCTGCTTTGGTCCTTCTTCATATTTCATCTTTGACATTTCTCTATCTTTGATAGAAGAAAACATGTCTGAATAATATGATGATTGAGAGAATATATATCACCAAAGGTCCACAGATAGAGTCTAAATACTTATTGTTAAGAAATGACCAATGGGGCTGCTTACAAGAAACGATTTTTTAATGCACAACTAGATTGGTTTCAATATAAAGAATATAGTCATAATATAGACAAATCTGACATAACCAAGATCGGATCAAAAACTGCCGGGCTCCTATATTAATTAAGATCGCGGAAGAAAAATCAATTTTAACTCTTCAGAGACTATAGATAATTTGAAGACTCGCCTCGATGAAGACCAAGATATAGTGACTCAGTCTATGTGGACGAAGACTCAGTTTTTAAAC